GAGCTTTAATCTCCATGATATACAAAGAACTCAAAAAACATAACACCAGAAAAAACAAATAATCCATCAATAAATGGACAAAGGAACTAGACAGGCACGTCACAGGAGAAGAAATACAATGAAAAATTGTTAAATACCTCTAGCAATTAGAGAACTATATATTAAAACTACACTGAGATTCCACCTCACTCCAGTTAGAATTACAATTATCAAGAATAAAGGTAATGATAAATGTTGGTGACGATGTGGGAGGAAAGTTCCACTCATACATTGCTGGTGGACTGCAAATTGGTGCAACCATCTGGAAAGCAGTATGGTTATTCCTCAGAAAACTTGGAATGGAACCACCATTTGACCCAGTTATTTCACTCCTCAGCACATACCCAAAGGACTTAAAATCAGCATTTTAAGTCCTTTGGGTATGCAGCCATACCAATGTTTATTGCTGCTCAAGTCACAATATCTAATCTATGGAACCAACCTAGGTGCCCTTCAACAGATGAATGAATAAAGAAAATGTGGTGCATATACACAATAGAATATTACTCAGTCAAAAAATAGAATGACTTTATGACTTTTGCCGGAAAAATGGATGGATCTGGAGGCTAACTTACTCAATGAAATAAGCCAGTTCCAAAAAACCAAAGGTCAAATGTTCTTCCTCATATGTGAATGCTAGCTAACACACAATGTGGGGAGGGGACAAAAATTTAAGTTCAGTAGATTAAATAAAGGGGAACAAAGGAAAGGTAGAGGAATGGGAATAGAAAAGACAGTAGATTGAATCAAACATAACTTTCCTATGTTCATATATGAATACACCCCCAATGAAACTCCACGTCATGTACAGCCACAAGAATTGGATTCTAAATAGATCCGACTATGTATGATAGTCAAAATATACTCTACTGTCATGTACATCTAAAAAGAATGAATAAAAAGAGAGAGAGCATAGAAGTGATTCAATTCTAATAATTAAGCTTAACAGAGAGATAGAAAGAATTTTTTAAAGTCAAGCAGGAATCCTTAGCTAAAAATTACACTAAGCAAATTTTTTTTTAAAGAGAGAGTGAGAGAGGAGAGAGAGAGAATTTTTAATATTTAATTTTTAGTTCTCGGCGGACACAACATCTTTGTTGGTATGTGGTGCTGAGGATCGAACCCGGGCCACACGCATGCCAGGCGAGCGCGCTACAACTTGAGCCACATCCCCAGCCCTACACTAAGCAAATTTTAAAATGCTGTAGGAGCCATCAATTTCAGAATAGATCTACCCCATGAAATAATAAGTGAGTTTGAAAACAGGCTGTTTGAAAATATACAGTTGAAGTATATTTTACTGAAGAAAAAAGAAAGAATGAAGAAAGCTTATGTGAATATTGGGACATTAACTGAGCAAATATTCAAGTTATCAGGTTCAAGAAGGACTTGAGAATGCCAAAAGGATGGCAAGCTTAATAATAGAAAACTTCCAAAATGCAGAGAATGATACAAATATCCAGGTATAGGAAGGTTAGAGGTCACCAATCAGATTCAACTCAATTAAGTCTACCCCATGACATAATTAAGCTCTCAAAGTTTAAAGAGAAAAAGAAAATTCTCAAGTAAGCAAGAGAAAATAAAAAATGACATATAAGGATATTCTAATTCACCCAAGAGCCGACTTCTTACAGGTTAGGATAGGTGGCATAAGATGTTCACAGTACCAAGAGAAAAATCCTGCCAACCCTAACCAGCAAAACATTCCTTTATAAATGAAAGAGAGACGAAGACATTTCCAGATAAACAAAAGCTGAGAGAATAAATCTCCTTAAAACCCAAAGAAAGAGGTCTTAATGAGTAAGAAGGAAACATTGGAAGGTATAAAACTCAGGAAAAAGTAACTATACAAATTCAGAATATTTTAATATTCTAAAGATTATGTGTATACCATTGATATCTTTAGTATGAAAATTTAAAGACAGAATTGACATAATAACAGCTATACCATGCTGAGAGATAAGCAATATAGAAAGATGTCAAATAGAACATCAAAAATTCAGAACTGGGGAGGGATGGAGTAAAAGTGTAGAGCTTTCATTAGTATATTTTCTCTTTCTTCTTTTGCTTCCTTTTCTTATCTTTACGATGATGTTAAATTGCTACCATTTCAAAATAGGTTTTTTTTGTGGACTGAAGTGTTGTCAAATTCTAGAATTGAAAACAAAGCCAATTAAGATCTTTAAGCTGAACTCTGTAATTTTGTCTTTTGACAGATCTTAGATCTCCTCCCCAGTCCTGATCTACCAATCTCCCTCTAATTTGGAGTATAGAATCATCCAGTTGCTAAGTCAGTAATTTCACCTCTGAAAACTAGTTACTTCTTTATTCCAAGTCACCACTATCTTTTACTCATATTATATAATAGCCTCCTAATAATGGGCACCCATCTAAGAGTGGCTATCACAACTGTAATTAATAATTTGGATAATTTTGTTCAGTGTTTCTCTATTCCTTTAGACTATATGCTTCATAACATCAAGATCTGTGTTGACTCTGCTGGTTCCCAGCACCTTGCCTTGTTCACAGCATGAATGAATAAATATATACTGAATAAATTAATGTTAAAAATGAAAAAGATAAATAACAAATGGTACAAATGTTTATTCTTATTAGTAATCAAAGATTATATAAAATAAATTAACATACAATTTGACCTTTCGTGCTTCCCTTTTTAAAGTTGGTTTTTGTTTATTTTTATTTTGTTTTATGAGGGGTGTGTGTGTGTGTGAGTGTGTGTGTGTGTTGTTTCAGATGGGTCTTGCTATGTTGGTTGAGTTGGACTTGAACACCTGGACTTAAGTGATCCCCCTGCCTCAACCTCCTGAGTAGCTGGGACTACAAGTTGCCCGGTTTAAAGGTTTTTTAATGGTTCCAACACTGACAAGAGTACAGGGAGACAGAAACCATCATCCCTTACTAGTGGGATTATAAATGTACATATCCTTCCTAGAAAGCCTTTAGCAATGTATGTCAATCAGCTTAAATTATTCACCTGCTTGGAATCAGCCATTGGACATTATTATGGGCTAAATTGCAATCTCCCAAAATTCATATTCTGAAGTTGAGAATGTGATTGTGTTTGGCCTGTAAAGAGGTGTTTGAGTTAAAATGAGGCCCATTAGAATGAGTCTTAATCCAATCTAATTGATGTCTTGAAAGAAGCTAGAAAATACAGATATATGGAAAGATACTAGGTGCTTGCTCACAAAGGAAAGACCATATGAAGACTCAGTAAGAGGCAGTTATGTGCAATCAAAATACAGAGGCCTCTATTTTGAAACCTTGATCTTAGATTTCCCAACCTCCAGAACTCGAAGAAAATTTCTGTTAAATCACCCATTCTGTGATATTTTGTTATGGCAGCCCTAGTAAGCTAATTCACATGTCTAAAAACTTATTCTCAAACAATCTGATATGTGACTAGAGATTTGTAAAGCTGGTACTTACCTGAGGTAAATCTGTGTTAGTATACTTGCTATAATCAGTCATGGTACTAGGTGCTGTGGATAATGGGGAGAGCAAAATGGGCTCAGTGTCCCCCTCCTGGAGGTGGCATTCATTTGAGAGACTGGCATTTAACAAACAGGTCATATTCTTACAAAAACAAAAAGAGAGTTCAAGGTATCATAATAAGACAAAACATGTAAAATTATGTGCACTTGGATAGGTATTGGGAGTCTGGGAGGCTCAAGGGAGAATTCTGTAAATGTGTGATGATTGAATTATAATCTGCAGGATGAACAAGGGTTAACAGAGGAAATTCCTGACATGGAAGGAAGCTCTGGTAAGGCCAGGAGTTCAGTAGGTCTAAGAGGAGGAAAGAAGCCTGGAATAGAGAAACACTGAGGAATTTCAAGTACTACAGTAAGATAAGATTGGCAATGTTAAAGCATACCAAACCATCAAAGGTTTTCTCTGTGATTTGGGATTGTTTCCTTCCATCTTTTTAGTTTTTCATAGTTTTTTACAGTAATTTTTTATTATCAGGAAAAAAGTTACTTTCAGTATTTGATACTGGGAGTGAAATATAGATGTTTGTTTAAATATCTTCTTCCAATGAGAAGCCCAAAAAGAAAGCCAAGAGTTCTTCCTCACAATCTAAGATATACTTAATATCTCCTTACATCAGAAAGGCTTTTCAATCTATCTCTGCTTTGGTATGTGACTTCATGGAAAATGTGCTAAATAGAGAACTTTAATTGGTTACAGGGAGATGTTCCCATTTTTTTAAATATTTACTTGCTATGCAAGCACTTTTTTGCAATTTTCATGAATTTCAAATATAATTTCCCTCAGCAAGGCATAAAATGATGTCTTAAATAGCTTAAAATAGCCTCACCTATCTTTCCCCCATGCTACTGGGCTCCTAGGCTGCAGTATGCAATGGCCACTGCCTGTGGGCACAATGACTGCCAAGCACACCAAATCTCAAGTCAAAAAAGTGCTATAAGCAGCACTTTTTTGTTTCCTTTGTGTTCTCAGAACAACAATCACTATCAGAGAAAAGTTCTATGCACTACACAAAGTCACAGGTTCTCATGTAAATAGAAATCATCTTCCAGAAAGAGAATCTGTATGCTACTCTAATGGTAGATGTATGTTATACATTTGTCCAAACCCACAGAATGTACAAAACCAAGAGTGAATCCTAATGTGAAATATAAACTCTGGGTGATAATGATGTGTGGATGGTTCATCAATTATTATCAAATACACTACTATTGTGGGGGATATTGATAAAAGGGGAGGATGTACATGTGTGGAGTACAGGGTAAACAGGAAATCTCTGTATCTTCTACTTACTACTGCGGTGAAACTAAAACTGCTCTTCAAAAAAATTTCTTTTTAAAACATGTCAATAACATGAAAAGGAATGGGGGGAAATTGGTTATAAATATTACCATCTCAAGAGCTCAATTTCTCAGGCTGGGGATGTAGTCAAGCGGTAGCGCGCTCACCTGCCATGCGTGCGGCCCGGGTTTGATCCTTAGCACCACATACAAACAAAGACGTTGTGTCCGTCGTCATGTATGCCTAAAAAGAACTAACAAAATAAATAAAATAAATAATAATAATAGATAAATAAAGTAAAATTTATTAAAAAAAGAGCTCAATTTCTGGATGTACTTTATTCTGGTTTTAACTGTAATCACTCTTCAGTTGTCTCCCTCTTGTCCTTCAGTAAATAATTAAGAGTGAGGTGAGACACAATGATGGAAAAGATCCAAGTGCTGGGATCATAAGACTCATATTGAGTTTTGGTGCACAGGGATGTATCAGACACTCTGGGGATCATGTCCTTGACCTCTAACCTCAGAATAAATTCTACAAAAGAGTCTTTCTTCCCATTTGAAAATAAGAAAAATGAATCTTAGGGAGGCTGAGTAACAAATAACTTTTTAAAGTAAAAAATAACTTTTTAGAGAGATAAAGTGACATGCCTAAGCATATGACATTTTATTTCTGTAATAGCAATCCTAAATTTTTCATCTTTAAAAGCAACAACAATTTCATTCTATTTCTATGTTAAACTGCCGATGTGACTCTTAACAAGGTACCAATTTTAATAAAATTCCATTTTAAAAATATAATCATAATTTGTAGGTCTTTAAGAATTGGTCTTAAAAAGTTTATGTAAGGAGTACTTTATAGTTGAAAGCTATCATTAAATAAAGGACTATAAATGAGTCAACTAGCTATATATAGAAACAGCATTAGGGAAACAGATTCAAGTATCCAACTGGTTAGACAGCTGCTCTTTCAGATATAATAAAGAAAAGCTTAACACCAAGCAGTGAATATATCCTACTTAAAAACAAAAGGATGTCTGAAATTAATCAGTAAAATAATATTTTCTAACATGAGAAATGAAAAGACCCTGCTCAGACAACAATTCAATGTAAAACTGTCACCAAGATTCTATCATAAACAACAAGAACAACAACAACAACAACAACAACAAAAAACAAGCTAAACAAAGGAGAGGAGAGCTATAAGAAGAAACTCCTTGGGGTTTCTGAGTACCATTCTTCAGGTACTTGGAATCTTCTCTTATCCATTATCCAGTGATCATCATTCTAAGGTACAGTTATAAAAAAATACTAGAACGTAAGCATGTAGTAGTCAGCTGAGGATGCCATAACATAATACCACACACTGATGGTCAACCAACAGAAATGTACTCTTACAGTTCTGAAGATAAGGAAGTCCAGGATCAGGGTTCTTGCTGACTGAGGTCCTGATGAGCACTCTTTACTTACAGATGGCTGCCTTCATACCGCATCCTCATGTATTCTAGTTGTATGTGTGGGAAGAAAAAGACAGATCTCTTGTGTCTCTTCTTATAAGGTCACTAATGCCATCAGACTAGGAACCCAACCCTCATGACTTCAAATAATCTTAATTATTTCCCAAAGGCTCCATGTCCAAAGACCATCATATTAAGGATTAAGGCTTCAACATACAAACTTGAAGAAGACACACACTTAGTCCATAACATATTGAATGAAAACCTTCAATATAAAATTTCCAACTACCTTCTCATCGTAATATGAAAGAAACATGGAGGATAGTGAAGGGTGAAGGGTAGTAGTTGGATAAGAATAATAACGTAATGTTTCATGATATAGTAGGGTAATTATGGTCACCCTATATAAACAATTAATTGTATATTTCAAAATAGCTAGTAGAGAGGATCCTAAACATTCCCAAAAAAAGGAAATAATAAATGTTTGAGGCAATGAATATGCCAATTATCCTGATATGATAATTATATATCATATAAATGGACTAAAATATCACATTGTACCATATAAATATATACAGTATTTTGTGTGAGTGTAGTGCTGGGGATCAAACCCAGAGCCTCAAAAATACTAAGCGTATCCTCTAACACTGAACTATACCACCAACCAGAACAATTATTATGTTGATTAAAAATGAAAAAAAATATTTTTAAAAGATAATGAGGAAAAGGTACGGTTAGAAAAAAATACTAGAACATTAGGCAGTCATTAACTAAAAGCATTAAGAAAAAGGTTTTCTGAGTTTCAACATCTCTGATATTAATAATAAGTGCTTAATAAGTACTAGGCACTGTCCTAATCACTTATATGTATTACTCAATGAATTTTCACAACACACTTTGGAGATACATACCATTATCACCCATTCCATTTACGCATGAGGAAATTGAGGCAGAGAGAGGCTAAGTAACTTGCTCAGTTATACTGCGAGCGAATGAAGGATATAGCTCCAGAGTGCTCCAGGGCTAGCTCCAGAGTGCTTGTTCTTAACAGCTTCACTCTGCTGCCCTACTACCAAGTCTTCCACCTTATCCTGTAGAAGACAGAAAAGTCTACACCTTATGCTAAATCTTCCTTTCAGAGATGTCATTGAAATGCTATCATTACTTTTATTCCCTTGGATTTAGGTACTGCTTCATTAAAATTAAATACAAATTTAATATAAAATTCAAGAAGCCACTCACTGCCAATTATAAAACATTATACTACTCCCTCACTCCTCAGATTTGTGAAAAATTTTTCTAAGGGGGCCAAGCCCCAGCCCATCCCTGAAACAACTACAGGAGACCACCACTGTAGTGCTATACTGTAAGAAAGAGAGTGTGTAATCACATCAGGTTAATCAGATGAAAACCAAAATTAAAAATTTTCACTACATTAAATTAGACTATGGATTAAAAATATAAAAGGGGAAATGTGATTTTAAGAAAAGAAAATCCTTGAGTTTAGATAGGTAGAGGCTTATTTTGTTTCCCCTTGAATTATTCTATGTGGGCAAGTACATGCCATGTCAACCTTGGAGCTCAAAGCAGCACTGACAGGATCTGTTTGGAGATGCCAAGCCTTAAGCAGTGAACTCAGCTCCTCCTCAAAGAGCTCATTCATTTGGCATAACCCTATCTTCCACCCGAACAATGTGTAGAACAATGCTCAGAGAACCAGTGGAAGGAGACAATATCTAGAAAGTTGAATTAACTAACTAACATATTAAGGTGAAGGAGACAATGATTAGAAAGCTGAATTAACGAAGGTATTAAACTATACTTCCAATAAGCAGAATGAATAAATGATATGGAAACTTTCACTTTAGTTTTATATTTTTGTGATAATGGAGAAGGAAGACAGATATATTCAATAGCAAGAGAGACTTCACATTATTCTTTTCATCAAGGACAACAGGACAATAAAATTCGTTTTAAAAAAATTCACTTTAAATCAGTAGTTACCGATTATAAAGAGTTTGTAAACTCCATAAGTAAACACATGCATGGTGGTCTGATAATTGTAAAATCTGTTGTTGATTAAACAGGTTAATTCAAGCAAAAGTTCAAAACTGGGACAAACAGAAAAATATGTGCATAGAGAAAGCACATCATTTACAAATATTATACAATACAAAAGCTGTTATCCCCTAAGAACATAAGGTACACAATAATGAAACCTAAAAGCGAATTTTCTAAGTAGGATTGATTATCTGAGTTTTAAAACCTTATAGATGCTAAAGTTAATTCAAAAAATTTCATTTTGTAGAGGAGCCACTATGGTGGAGTAGAGGGAAGCAGTACCTTCCACGCCTCAAAATCAAAGCAGTTGGAGAATAGCTACTCAGCAAAGTGGATAACCGAGGGAATTCCCTAAAGTTCAATATTGGACAGTACTGACTTGAAGAAACCCAGAAATTCTAGTCTTTGGAACAGAGAGAAAAAGTGCCCAGTTGCCACAGTGGCACCAGGGCATGGCAGAGATAAGGGGAAAAACAAGGGAAAGAGAGAGAGACATGGCAGACAAAAGCAGCTATGGACATGGCAATCAGGAAGCAGAGAGAGTGCTCAGCTTACCAGGGGAAAATATAAGCTCCAAATTACACCCCCTGTAACCTTCTTCCCATAGTCACACCCTACCTGCCTATAGATACCAGTTATTCCATATCAGTGTACTAATGCACTGATTAGGTTACACCTCTCTAATCATTTCTCCTCTGAAAATTATTGCATTGTCAAACACATGAGCTTTTAGGTGCTATCTCTTAATGAGGTTCTTGAGATCCATGATGGAGTGCAAGGAGAGTTCTGCTTCAGCTTGACCCTGGGGATGCATTAATCAATCTAATCTGTCCAGAGTAGACTCCAGCCAATGATACTTTCTATTCCATGCCACCTTGTGCTTGTGAACAGGGAAGCTGAGAGCTATTTTAACCAACTGAAGTCCCAGGTCACAGCAGCTGGCAGCCTGCTAAGCAACAAAGAGTGGGAGGGATTATTATCACCCAGCCCTCTGTAACAGGTGTTCATAGCCCAATAAGATATGGCAAGAAGTGGGTGTCATGTGAGGCCCAGGTAGGTGTGTAAGGGAAAGCCGTAAGGGGTGCGAGTGAAGCAAGGAGCAGAAAGACAATTCCTGGGAGATCCAGGAGTGCATGTGCACTTCCCTGCTTCTCTGAGATCCATCCTGCCTTGGTGGCCCACAGCCAGGTGACAGCTGGGCCCACCGCCAAGTGCACCTGGGGCGAGGAAGTATACTTTAATAGGATGCTTCTTTTTTCTTCACCTAGGGCCTAGGCTGACAGGGCATTTGCAGAAATGCCTATGTATGTTTACTTACAGGTTACTGCCCACTGTGGAAGACCCAAACTTAAAACAAACTTGTTCCTGGAGATATATATTCTGGCCTACACTGCAGTCTCTGGCATCCATTCATCTTTTTTTATAATTATTCTTCAATTCTTTATTTGGTATTTCATTACCTAACATTGTCTTTGGAGTCAGTTGCTAGTGACTTATGAACCTCAGGAGAAGTCATGTTGCCTTATTTTTTCATATTTCATGTATTTATCAATATTTACTTATCTATTGGGTTGAATTTTTGAAAAATTATGGGAACCACCTATGCTGAGGCCTACACCTCATAGGTGTAGTGTCCACAGTATTTGTGTTATTCCTCTCTGTTTATGATGTAGATGCACATGTCCAGGAATGGATCTTCAGGCCACCCCATTCATGCTTACTCGGGCTGATCATTGGCTGGGGATTTTTAATTTCCCCTATTATTAGTGTTAAAAGTTTTCACTGAAGTTTGAGTTGGGGTATGTGTGGAACAGGTGTGCTATCTCTTAGCTGAGCTGGGAGTGTAGCTCAGTGGCAGAACATCTACCCCCATCAACTTGAAGTGTCACATTCTATCCCCAGCACCTTGCAGAAAGGGAGAAATACACAAAAGCAACAATAATAAGCAGTAGTGAACCAGCATTAAACAGCAGTTGTCATCTATGACATCCACAATGCTAACAGCCATAGAAATAGGAGTGACAAGGGTGGAAATTATGTAAATTGATTAAAAAAAAAACCATCAGCAGCATTTTATTTGGAAGTTCCTATTTATTACATAGGTTACTAACTTCCTCTCATCCCTACTCCTCCCCCAAATCCCAGAAAGGTGAAAGGTGTTTTGCTTGTTTGTTTTTTAATGTACAAAATTCTCTCATCTAATTTTTCTAAAGTCTTGGGTTAAGCAAACTTAAGCAGTGCTTCTCCTTGAGAGTACTGCTTTGAAGGAGAATGTAGTCTGTCCTTGTGCTCACTACAGACTTCTACCCTTCCTGGGGAAAAAATGGTCAATGCCTCTGATTCCTTTTAATAAATTCCTTTCTCAATTATTAAACATTATCATTCCACACTTGGCACCTTCTTAGAAACTTGATTTTTGGATGCATTTTTCATTTGACAGTCCCTGGAAGCTGACAGCCAAAGAATTCAAACCAGGTAGTATCTATCAGCCTTGTTAACTCTGTGCACACCCTATTTAGTCTCCTACATTTGTTCCTCCAGAGAATGTATGCATCTCTCTATATTTTCCCTCTCAAAATCAGAAGATAAACACTGCTGTTTCTGATGCTTAAATATCCCACACAAAGCCACATTTAAAAGTGATCAGAGCCTTGTATGGTGACGCACACCTGTAATCCCCGCTGCTCGGGAGGCTGAGACAGGAAGATTGAAAGTTCAAAGCCAGCCTCAGCAACAGCAAGGCACTAAGCAACTCAGTGAGACCCTATCTCTAAATAAAATACAAAATACGCCGGGGATGTGGCTCAGTGGTAGTAAGAACAGAGTTTAATTCCCAGTACCAAAAAAAAAAAAGTGGTCATAATCACTTGGCTGATGAGCTGACAGTCACTGTGGGAACCAACTATAAGTGGCTGCAAGGCAGCAAGCAGAGTTGGGAAAGTGGGAACTCATAAAGGACATTGATAGCCTGATCCAGCAGGCATTT